AAAATCACTCAAGTACTCTGTAATCGATCGTCTATCCTTGTACTGTAAAGTTGTAAGCTTTTTAACAAGCATAACTTTATTCATCATGTTTTTCTCTTGTATAATACTGTCAATTTTTTTCAAACAGTGTGGGCATCTATCTCCTACACTATATGATGGAACACGCTAATATCAACCCATTTTTTTGTTGTAGCCAGTATTTTTTTACCTAACTTTTTTCAGCTTTCATCTTTCATATTTATTGGTTTAGCCGAATCACCCAATACCGACTCATACAAATCTTTGTAGTACAAATGATTTTTTATCATAAGTTTTCAAATTGAATAATTTGATATTGTCAATTTTATCATGGAATCTATATCACCTTCATGATCTTAAACAAAATTTACTTTTATCTTGGGCTACTTTTATATCAATGTCTCAAAACAACCATCGCTTTGATACCACTTATTAGGCCTGAAGCAATAAACACAACAATGCAGAAGCAATATATCGCAATAAACTCACAATAATAAATAACAATCAACAATCAACAATCAACAATACAAGAAAAATAAAGTATACTAAGATTTATGTGAAAAATCCTCCAGTGTAGAAAATCACATACCACCAGAAAAATTTTTATTATCAAATAATGGATATATAAAGTTCTTATCTAGTTAAAACTAGAGTTAATTAACAACTAAAAAGATAATTGGAGAAATATTATCAAATAAGTGACTTAACAAATACATCATATTTTGTTTTTAGAGAGTTTCAAACTTGATCATTGTTGTTCAAAATATAAAACTCTAAATCATAAACATATTGATAAAATTTCAACTCAATCGAACTATGGATCGATTTTTATTTAATCAACTCTCTCTTCTTCCTTCTCTTTTTATTTTTTTCAATTTTTCTTCTTTTTCTTGGTTTCAATGCCATTCTCTATTTTTCTATTACATAATCCCATTTTATTGTTTAAAGCTTTATATAATCAGAGGCTCTCTTAGGTAAAAAAAAAAGTTTTAGACCTTTTAATTAGCTAAAACCAATGATGTTGGACACCACATATCCTAACATCAATAATTTATTTTATAATTAAAAAAATTATTAACGAAATTCTTTAAGATTAATTAACATATTATTCATAGCAATAATTTTTTAGCTAAATATGGGTTGTGGGACCTCTAGCCATATCGAAGAATAATTAGTGTCCTTAACAGAACTTTTTCCTTTGTATGGTAATGGTATTGCCCTGTATCAACTTTAAATTAAATCTTCCTTTTTTATCTACCATTGATCACAAATAATGTAGCCACTCAAGAGTACTGGAAAAGATCGAAAGGCCCACTTTCTCCACGATAATTCATGATGAACCATAATGCAGTTTCCTATGTTATGGGCAGCTAAACCTGGCTAATGCCTTTTTTCTCTTTTTTTTGTTCATACCCATCTCTCCTTTTTCTGCAATTTTTAAAACTTTAAAGCCAAATCTCATTACATTGGAACTCTCTTTTCTTTCGGTGCATGTACTTAAACCCATTCTTTCGATGAACCTTCCTTACCTGTTGCCACCATCTGATCAGCTTTGTTAGCTCAAGCTATAACATAGCTTGTGGATACATCATTAAGTTCTCGGAACTCTCCCAATTAATTAATTTGATTATGCTTTATTCTTCATACTTTTATTAATCTATTTTTAATCATTTCCCTCAATTGGAATATCATATTAGACATAAATTTACTTTTATCTTATTTATTTAATTTTAAGATTCCAATTGATTGAGAAATTTTTTTAATTAAGAATTCAACATTTTAAATATCTAGATGATTTTTCATTGTAAATTAAATAAAAAAATTATTCCTTGCGAAGGAGAAGAAAATGGGGGAGGTGTTTGCCAATAGAAACATGGCTGGTTTTAAAAAGTGACTTGAAAAATGGTTTTCAAAATGCAGGAATCAATGGGAGAGAATGAGAGAGAGGTCTTTATTGTAAGATGTGTTACTTTGAGACAGAACAATACATTAAACGACAAAGTGACTGATTACTTTTACAGATTTGTAAGAAGGATTTGGGACCCTATTCGAGTGCAACGGCATTAAAACTTGGACCTTTCACCTAAAGTTTCCCTTAAGCATACAAAGGAGAGGTTGATAGGGATGTGAACCTTAATAGGGATGCTACACAAAAAATACAAATCATTATGAATTTGAGATATAATTCAATTATTTCATACAAATATCTTTTATATTTATATGATATATTCAACAAATTTAGAATTAAAATTCTAGTATAACCAATCATATTTCTTACTCCCAAAATCTCTTTTTGTAAATATATACATACATATATATATATATTAATTAATATGCTAATCTTTCAATTATTTTAAGATAAACTTAACTCTCTGAGCTTTTAACACCCATACACGTGTGGCTCTACCAAATAAAAATTCTATACAAATTAATATAAATTATATATATATGAAAGTAATATATATTAACTCAATTGGTTAATTATCTATAAAAAGTGATGTTTAATAGACTTAAAATTAAAATTTTAACATTTATAATTAAACTTATATTTTATACATTATTAGTGAATCAAATGATGATAATTTTTTAATGAATAAACATCAACCCTTAAAATAAATGTACATAAATTAAAATATTTTAAAAAACCTACTTATTAATGATGTTATCATCAATTCACTAATAATATGTAAAATTTATATACCGATAATATATCAAATATAAACTCTTTACAATTTTAAGATTTGAATATTACTGAAATTAAAAATCTAACATTTTATTAATAAATCATACAATTTTTTACAACACTTATAATTTCTTATATTCTCAAATTATGATATATATATATATATATATATATAAGCTTTCATAACAAGTTTAAGTGAAGTTAGACATTAATTTGTATTGGAGACTACTTTTGTAATAAAGATTAGTTTTAAATTAATTCATGACATAAAGCAACTTAATTGACGCAATTAACAAGTGAATGCATCAATATTTGCTTATTAGGAACTATCCTTTAATACACTATTAATTTTTCTAAAATAACTATTAAGTTAATTTCAAGCTATGTATACATAATATATACATGCCTTTGAATTTATACGTGAACTCTGAAAAAATTACGAGTAAAAAAATTAAGGAAATAAGAGATATTTGAAAGGCAAAGTTAAGGTGCCTAGAGCCAAGCAATCTTCACTTTCAAGTCAATGTTCCAACGTCCACGTCAATTTTCCGTTAGTTTGTGAGGTGTTAACAACTTAACGTCAGTACGTTCATCATTTAAAAAGGCCAAAAGGTTGATCTCCAGAGTGACGGAATTGACCTTCATCACGGATTAAAATTACTTTCATTTTTAAAATATATATGGTTCATTATTTAATTTCAATGTGATTCATATATAAATTATTTATGCATAAAATGTTTAGAGTAGGGATATATTTATATTAGAATAAGTTTTAAATTTTTTTATCAAAATTAAATTCATATCAAATTTAGATCAAACAAATATTTTTAATTTTAGTTATTTTGATCCAAAAAATTATAAAATTTACACCAGTAAAAGTGGATCTTTTCTCAAATATTTAATAATTCATTTCAAAAAAATATAAAATGATCTCTTAATAAATTTAATCAATTATCAAGATTTCTAAAATTAGATTGATAAAACCATCGGATTATTGAAATAAAATTACATTATATTACCATTTAATTAATTTTAGAGTTCAGATTAAATTATGTTTTATGTGAAAAATCATATATACAGAGTTGCATATGAAAAAAAATTTCTTCACTTCTTTATTTCTTTTATTAGAATCTCAATAATAAATGCCAAAGTATAAGGCACAAATCTTCATGTATATTTTAAATGAAACCAATCTCATTAAACACTAATTAAGGGATATTTAAAAAATGAAATATATAATTAATATATTTTTTAATTTAATGGAAATAGTGTATCCAATGTCAAAAATTTTATTTAAATAATTTTTAATTATTCTTAACCAATGTTTATAAGCATCTAAACCCTAAATGAAAATTACTTAAATCAATGAGTTGTCAATTAATTATTATTTTTTACTTAAATCAAATAATCAGTTAATTAAAAGTTTCATGAAAAAGAAATCGCTAATATTTGTAATTTTTTTAGTGGGTCAAATCTTCATAAACTTTCCATTTGCTTTTCATTTTACTTGTGGGATAAGACAATACTAAAAAAATTAAAAAAAAAAAAAAACTTAATTGCATAATCCCAAGACATTCATTCTTTTTATTGGGACAAAATCCCATTTTGATTAATGACAAACATTTTTCTCATTTGAGTTGTATTTTCAAATACTCTATTCATTTTAAATTATTAATATATCATTGATTTTTATGAAGCTTAATTTTTTAAAAAATTTTGATATATAATATCAATTTTTAATTTTTTTATAAATTTGATGTTTAGTAATTTTTAATACTCATAAGTAAAAAAAATAAAAAAAAATTGGAATATAAAACAAGAAAGAGATGTAAGTGTTAAAAAAATAGAATGAAATAAATATTACTTTTTTTTATAAGCCAAATATTTGAATTTCAAATATCACTTAACCTAATTAATTATGAACATTTATCATAATTAAGTTAAAGGGTTAAGATTTAATACATTATAAGTGTAAAATTTTAATTATATAATCAAAATTAAAAAAGTGACATATTTTTTTAAGATATATTTTAAAAAATAAAAATTTAATTAAAAAATTAAACATTTATTATCTTTTTAATTATGTTTGTGTAATTAAAATTTTATACTAATACTATATAACGAATAGTAACTCCTAATGTGAATAGGAAAGATGACGTGTTAAATTCGCGTAATCCGTTTTATCATAATTAAATCCATAAAATAGCCAACTAATTCTTTACTAATTTATGGTATTAATTTCCACACTCTTGTGTCCCTATAAATTTTCAAAGTTTCAATGGCATTTCGGTAAACTCATGACCTCCGCTCCTTCCTTGAACTTGCCCAAGCGACTGTTACTGACAGTCTAACTGCGTGGTTTTTAATTCAAAACACAGCCCGTTAGAGTCGTTGGGTCAAAGCTTATATAAAGCCAACGGCTACATTACCGTTCATCCTCCACTCTCTCCTCTCTCTCTCTTTCTCTGCATTCTCTCTCTTATAGTAGACGACTGCCCTTTTTCGCACCTGAACAGAGAAAATCGGCGAAAAGATCGCTCAAATTAGAAACGGAAAAAGCACCAGTATCGGAAAAGGAAAAAATGACGAGTAGTGTAAATTAATCGAGGTAGTTTGGATCGCCACCTTCACAGTTTTGTTGTTTCATTTGTTCAATTTAAAAAGCTCGCATTTTTGAACATTCGCTTTCGGTTCTTTTCCTTTGGTAAAGAATCCGCTTTCTCTCCTGATCAAAGTTTGGGAATTTTACTCTTCTGCAACAAAACATAAAGAATATTGCAGCTATGCCCCTGTCTCTTTGACTGCCATTGCAGAGATTGAAAGAAACAAAAAAAGTTTTCTTCTCTTTTTTCAATTTCTTTCTTCCTTTCTTCATTCAATGTTTTCCAGTTAAGCAACAAAAACAAAGCCTTTTTTTTTCTATAGTTATTTACCAAAAAAATAAGAAGAACAATTTGCAGAAATGTCTGTTGTCGGTGTTGCTCTGAGTCCAGTTCGTCAAGAAGCGGTTCACTCCGCTTGTTATTGCAATAACCAAGCGGGTGACTCGATCTTGATTTACCTCTCCGTTGCCGGTTCGGTGATTCCGATGCGTGTTTTGGAGTCGGACTCGATAGCCTCCGTAAAGCTTCGGATCCAGACATGTAAAGGCTTTGTAGTGAAGAAACAGAAGCTTGTTTTCGGAGGCAGAGAATTGGCACGTAAAGATTCTCTTGTTAAAGACTTCGGCGTAAAAGGTGGGAATGTTTTGCACTTAGTTTTAAAGCTTTCCGATCTTTTGCTTATCACTGTACGGACAACTTGCGGGAAGGAGTTTGAATTGCATGTTGATAGGTATAGAAATATTGGATATTTGAAACAAAGGATAGCTAGAGAAGGGAAAGGTTTTGTGGATGTTGATGAACAAGAAATATTTTGTAATGGAGAAAAAGTCGATGACCAAAGGCTGATTGATGATCTATGCAGAGATAATGATGCTGTGATTCATTTGGTGGTTCAGAAATCAGCCAAAGTTCGAGCTAAGCCTGTCGAGAAAGACTTGGAACTTTCGGTTGTCGCTGAGAGAGATTTGGATGAGAGGAGAGCTGGTGTAGGAGGAGCACAAAACCAAACTCAGGGGCTTCAGATTGTGACAAAGGGGCCAATTGTTAGAGATATCTGGTTGGAACCGGTTACTGTTAATCCTAAGGTGAAATTGCCTTCCTTTATCTGGGATATGATACATTCGACGTTTGATGGGTTGGAGGCAGGCAATCAGCCGATCAGATCATCTGAAGGGACTGGAGGGACTTATTTTATGCAAGATAAATTGGGGCTTGATTATGTTTCCATTTTTAAGCCAATTGATGAGGAGCCAATGGCTGTGAACAATCCACAGGGGTTACCTCTATCTACCAATGGTGAAGGGTTGAAAAAGGGCACAAAGGTTGGAGAAGGAGCAGTGAGAGAAGTTGCCGCTTATATATTGGATCACCCAAAGAGTGGACCTCGATCCTTGTCTGGTGAGATGATAGGGTTTGCTGGTGTACCCCCTACCTGCATGGTTCAGTGCTTGCACAAAGGATTTAACCATCCAGATGGGTATGAATGTGCACCTGAGAATGTTAAGGTTGGATCCTTACAGATGTTTATGAAGAACTCTGGGAGTTGTGAGGACATGGGTCCCGGAGGTTTCCCCGTGGAGGAAGTGCACAAGATCAGCGTGTTCGATATAAGAATGGCAAATGCTGACAGACATGCTGGCAATATCTTGATCGGCAAAGGGGAAGATGGCCAGACCATGCTTATTCCAATTGATCATGGCTACTGCATGCCTGTTAATGTAAGTATAGTTTTATCATTCTAATAATGCCATGTTTGGTTATTAAGAGTTAATATTTTTCCTTCAAGTTTTTGCACATATGTTCCCCTCATATATTATGGGAATCATGACATGAAAATCAATCAGTTATTATCTATTTGAAATTTGAAAATAATGGTTACTCGAGCTGCAGTAATTTCTTTCTTTCAAACTTCAAAGTTAAGATCAATAGATTACACATGGACATGGGAGGTTCTAAATTAGGATTCCTGTTTGATTTAGGTTGAATCATTGTTAGGTGCAGTATCTAATATCCATCTCATTTCTTCTGTGCGATGTTTCTGAAAAGTTATAATTAGTATGGTGTAATATTAACCTATCGAAAAGTTACAGGTATATAAATTTATTTGGATCCTAACTTATTCACTTTGGGGAAGAAAAAAAAAAATTAATGCTCAGATGGAGAAGAAATATTTAGACTAGTACTTATGCAAACATCTTGTGTCATGCTGCTTTGATACAGTTATTCTATCTCATAATCCACTCTTACAACTATGTTTTGGGGACAATTAATGCATTGCATCATCGCAGAAGGATTTTCTTCTTTATCTAACACAACCAATATTATATGAATTGACATACTACCATCTGACAAAAGGAGGAACAGATCATTTCAATTTCTGAACTAATTTCTATTTGCTCTATTTACAGTTTGAGGATTGCACATTTGATTGGCTTTATTGGCCACAATCACGGCAACCTTACTCCCCGGACACTATTGACTATATAAGATCACTGGATGCTGAACAAGATATTGCACTTCTCAAGTTTTATGGGTGGGATGTTTCTGTTGAGTGTGCTCGCACGCTCCGTATCTCCTCCATGCTTTTGAAAAAAGGGGTTGAGCGAGGCCTCACTCCCTTCACCATTGGAAGCATCATGTGCAGAGAAACTATGAACAAGGAATCTGTGATTGAGCAGATTGTTTGTGAAGCTCAGGATTCCTTACTTCCAGGCATGAGTGAAGCTGCGTTTATTGAAACTGTCTCTCAAGTCATGGATTCTTGGCTTGACAGGCTCACAAATTGAAGCTACCTAGTTCATGGTACATATTGTATTCAATGAATGATGAGTCCATTTTTGTATGGACCTCAAATTATGCAAACGTAGATGGGCAGATGGCTTTATCTTCTTTTACACGAGCCTGAAGCTTTCATTTTTTTTTCTTTCTTTCTTTTGCTTTGTCAAGTTATTACTTGATCGTGTCATCAGTATGTTTAACAGAGTCAAAGATAATGAATAATATCTACTCTGCTAAGATTCTACAATAGATTGCAGGATTCTAGCTCAAAAAGAGCTATAAAACTTGTATATATACTATCTTTAATCTGAAATTTAGATTTGGAGTTGTGTAAACATTGATTGTTCAGCATTTTTCTTGGAATATTATATTAGATCAGTCACTTGTGCCTGCAGAAGCAAACAGAAAAAGAACTAACAATATGTGCCAATTTTGGCACATTATTAAAGGCAGCAAAATACCAGGCCCAAAATGAACTGAGCCTGTACTTAGTAGACAATGAAGCTGGCCCATATTAGCCCGTTCCGTTTTCCCTTCTTAAATCTGGAATCACAAATTATGATACTTCTCAGGTCCCAGATCTCTCAGATGTACCACTTTTCAGTTTTGGATTTGGAAGGAAATGATATTCATCCAATTTAAAAGAAAGGGGGTTCAATATTTTAGGAGCGAAAGTTCATTCATTCTAACGTGGATTATTAACCATGACCAAAACCCAAATTCATAAAACAGTAAGTATTCAGGCATTTTGAAAATGCTTCATAGAAAAATGCATGTGATTATCATCTTCATAGTGTTACTGCAGGTGCAAAGTTCATCATTTCCTTGGTGACAGACCCCAGGCAGCAGCTGGTAGGCTGGTGGAACTTATTGCCGGCAGCCAGAACCCACTCTACTCAACCCATCATCGTCATCATGGCTATGAGTATTGCTTTATTGGAGCATCGCAATTATTGCAAGTTTGGCAATTTTTTCTCAGCTGCCACTGCCATGAAACTGTTTTTCATTGTGACAGGGTACTGATTTGTTCCCTACCAAATGGGGCTACTTCACTTTCCCTCACTTCCCGCCATTTTTCACACCATCTCGGCAGACATCTAGTTTTTGTTGACAATTAAGACCAGTGAGCATGTGGATAGGAATCAAAGGTCTCTTACTTTAAGATTTTATTTTGACTCGTGTAAAAGAAGACAATAGTAGTCAGCTTTTATCCTACTACCTAGTACCTTCCTTCATTTTTTCCCTTGTTTTTTTTTTTTTTTTTTTTCTCTTCTATTCATCTGATCTTTTATCTTTCTTTTCTAAAAATGAACTCAAAACCTAAGTAAAAATGAAAATGCATCGGATTGAATAATTCATTATAATCGCAATTTTATTTATACAATCCTATTGTTACTTAAAAAATTATTTTCTTTAAATAGTATAATGAAAATTCCAATTTGAGCCTTTTTTTTGGGGGGGAATGTAAATGTCGTTTACAGTTAACAACAACGGCCAAGAAAATTAGCAAAATCTGAATTAACCATTTTCTTGCAAGGAATCAAACATCCCGAAAATAGAAAATCTTGTCAAAAAGAGAAGAAAAAGAAAAGATCAGATCAGATCTAAGACTGAAGTAACCCGTAGTCAAAAAAGAGAAAGAGCTGAAATCAGAGTTTCAACAGCAAACAGCAAATTGTAAGAATTGGCCGCCCTATGGCCTCATCTGCTTATCCATTTTTTAGGTCACACGGAAACATTCTCCTCCCCTTCTCTTAAACTCACAGACCCCACATTTTCTTCTTTTATTTCTCTTTAATCATCCACTTTTTCCAACTTTTCTTTCGGTTGCTCTTTGATTCCTTCCGCCCCCCCCTAACATCAAAAACCAAAAATCTTAGCATTAAAAACAACCAACAAAAACTCCAACCCCCGTTATAAACGACAACCCCAAAACCAAAACTATCAAGAAAGAAATTAAAATAAAACCCGACAAAAAAGTCTTCACTTTCACATCACTTACACCGCTTTCCCTTCTCCATAAATAACACTCTTTCCCAACATGCAAATGTTTCTTCCTCTCCAAAAATCCCTTTCTTTTTAATCCCTTTCCTTTCTCTCTTTAGATCACACCCAAGAAAACAGTTAAACCAAAATAAAATACATTTTTTAAAGAAAAAAAATCATGGTGAAGGCTCAAAGGCCTCCATCTGGCCGTACAAATCTAGCTTCATGTGTTGTAGCAACAATTTTCTTGATCTTCCTTGTAATAATTGTCCTCATTGTTTACTTCACCGTTTTTAAACCGAAAGACCCCAAGATCTCCGTCAGCGCCATCCAGCTTCCGTCTTTCACCGTTGGTAACAACTCCGTCAGCTTCACTTTCTCCCAATACGTCACCGTTAAAAACCCAAACCGAGCCGTTTTTTCTCACTACGACAGCACTATACAGCTTCTTTACTCGGGTTCTCAAGTCGGATTCATGTTCATACCAGCAGGAAAGATCGAGGCGGGTCGGACTCAGTACATGGCTGCCACTTTCGCCGTCCAGTCTTTTCCCTTGGCAGCACCGAATGAGGCGTCGGTGGCAACGATACCTACTACTTCGACGACTACTACAACGACGGGGCCCATTGGGCTGATTGATGGGTTTGGCGGGAGAAATAATGGATATCGAGTTGCGCCCACGATGGAGATTGAGTCTCGTATGGAAATGGCGGGTCGTGTTCGAGTTCTGCATTTTTTCACCCATCATGTGGATGCTAAATCTTGGTGTAGAGTCACTATTGCAGTGAGTGATGGGTCTGTTTTGGGGTTTCATTGCTAATTTTATTTCCTTTTTTCTACGTTTAGTTCATGTAATGTAAACTTTTACTAACTTTTTTCTCAATAATTTTCAGTTTTGGACGATTTTGTGATTTGGGTTTTAAATTTTGTGTACCCAATTTGTTGAAAACGCTGTAAAAATAGATTTAATTTTTTCGTTGTTGCAAGTAAGCTCTTTTTGTAGAAAGAATCAAAGTTTTGAGCTTTCATGCTTGCTTTCGTTTCTGTTAAGTGATTAATTGAAGGGTAAGTAAAGACGATGCTTGTCGAGTGTTGGTTTAGGTGTAATCATGAGACTAAGACTGAAATCATTTTTGGGGGTTTGGTCCAACAATGAAGCAAAGGTCAGTGAATAATGAGCTGGAAAGCCGCGTAAAATGTGGCCTGTTTTTTGTTCCCCTTTTTTATTTTTTTAATTATTTGCAAGGAAGGCTCCAGTCGAGGAAGTTAACGATGTCGTTTTAAATATTAGTAGCAATTCAGTTGCGGTCTTGCAGATCAGAGCAGAGCTTGGGATCATCACCCGGCGAATTTAATTGCCCCGGATTTTCGTGGACGTGCGCGGCCCATGCTCAATGGTTAATCCTCAATGGGATTATAATTTTGGATGTGAAAACTGAAAAATGGAGAGGTAAGAATTAAAAGGTTCCATCGGATGAGAGTGAGAAAATTGGTGGGAGTTGTTAAGGTTAGTGGGACCAAGTACAGCGGACCCTGAAAACATCATTCACTGTTAGCTAACCTCGAAAGTCGAGTCTTTGCTTTTTTGACTTTTCATTTTGTTTAATAATAATAAAGTAATAGAAGCCCCACATGTCACTTTTGATCGCCATTTTCTACGGCCCCCTGTTGCGGTTGTTAAGAGTTTGGAACGGTAAGCAAGTCCAAAAGTGATTTGTCCCCAGTTTACTGAAGTTTGGCATTAACGAGGGAGATTAGGAATTCAACACTTCAACTGCACCAATTACTTCACTGAGATTACAAAAACGGAATATTCCAATCCACAAAATTAGACTAGGTTCAAGAGCTAGGTGGAACACCGAAGGAAACATGAAAGGAGAGGCTTAGAAGGGAGTATGAAACGGGGAAGGATGCATTTAAATATCTTTGGGAAAAAAAAGGTTTGGCTTGCAAGTGAGAGATGAGCTTTTTGGTTGCTGTATTTGATGAAATGAAGTTTCAAAAGTCTAGATCTGCATTATTAATGCAATGCTTGATGCTATGACACTCACACCAGGCTTTTCCAAAGACAGATGGTGGGTGACATTTATGATTTATTTCACATTAGATGAGGGGAGAAAATCTACCGACTTATTGAAAAAAGCCCATCTCTCATTTGTAATCCAAATCTTCTAGACTTCTAAATTGAAATCGCTTGAATTTGTTAGCGTTGCATTTGCTTTTGTTAAAAGGGCTGCGGGGCTTAAGCCACAAATGAGTGACTCTCTATAGCGAAATTCTATTATGCTTAGGGTCTTTGTGCAGGTGTAGCAAACAGATTTTGAGTTCAAGAAATGCAGATTTTAACCACGGCCTCGCTTTAAAAGATATGTTAAATCATGTGAAATGGAAGATGTTGAAAGACAAGAAAACCAATTCTCGTATTTTTCAATCAATTGGTGATCAAATGGAAGACCATCTATTATTATCTATGTTTCCTTTAATCCACAACAACAGGAACCATATTAACTTAAGGACTCCTCTACAGGCACATATATACAATATTTTTAGAGAAAAAAATGTCAGATCATAAAATTTTTAAGTTACAATTATAATAAGTATTACATTGTTTTTGTTTATTTCGTAAAAAAATAACTTTCAAAAAATAAATTTTAAAAAATATTTACATTTTCAGAATTGAAAGAAAGTTTTGTTATTCTGATGAGTTAATGAAAAATATTTTTTGTTATTTGGTTGTTTTTTGAAAAATCTATGTTTTTTTCAAAAAATATTAATATAACTATTAAAACATTAAAAATTATTTATTATTAAAATTATTTATATTAAAAAATAATTATATTTTAATAATAATATTTAATATAAAAATATTATGTTAATATAATAAATACTTAAAATAAAATTATTTTATTATTTATTAATATATTATAATATTATTTATTAATATATTATTATAATATTTATTAGTTAAATTAATATTATTTATTATTATATTCTTTATTAATAATATATTATTTATTAATATATTATAATATTGTTTATTAATAGTATATTATTTATTAATATATGATTTGTTAATATAATATTATTTAAAGGTAAAATAATGCTAAAAAAATTAATAAATAATTCTACTCATAGACAACTTTTTTTTTGAAAAATGTTTTTTTTTTTTTAATTTGTAAGATAATTTTTAAGAAAATGATCTTATTTTTCATTGATCAAAAAATTATTTTTTGTTGACCAATCAATTTTTGATCAAACAAACACCTGAAAATATAAAATTATTTTTTGTGAAACAAATGAAACCTAAATAATAAATTATTATATTATAATTAAGTTACAGTCGTTAAATAATCAAATAAAAAATTAAAATATAGCTAAATGTCCAAATGCATACATAATATAATTTGAATATAAAATCTCAAAATTTTAATATCTCCTCCTTATTATTAATTTAATGCCTCATTAGTGCTAGAATATAATTAGGCAATGATTAGGTGATTTATAATATTATTCACATAGTTAGCAATGCAAAACTCTCAAATTTTATGAAAAATTAAGAAATAATTAAAGAACTTCAGGTTTTTATCAACACTTTGGTGGGCGGAAGAACTTATCAATCGATACTAATACAGAGATGAGTAACAACTGATCAAGAAGGACAAGAAAAGAAATTTTGAATTGTTAAAGGTATTGTAAAGATTTCAAAAATTTTATAATACCTTATTAAGAAAAAACTCAAGTAATTTATATTCTTTCAAATTAAAAAAAAAGGGGTCCCTCCAAACATGTTAATTAAAAAAAATAATAAAGTATTATTATACTTACTTCAATGCTTTCTAAGCATTTCCTAAATTACACATTTAGCCAAAGCTTAACAAAAAATATATAAATACAATTGCAAAAAAATTAATAATTAAATAAAACTAGTTTATATCTCAATATAGGTAATTTAAAAAAAAAAAAATCCGGTCGCCAAAGGCGCGCGCCTCTTTTCTTACAAAACCCCTTAAGTGGAAGCCATGTTTTCCATTATGAAGTAAAATTGCAGAGGATCAAAAGCTAAAAAAGGAGCTAAGCGAAATGAATCAGATGAGCAACAGACGTGAACTAACCATAGATCAAAGAAGAGCAAAGAACGAGCGTGATCGCCGACCCCGCCGAGAACATAAGGTACCCACAATTATATACTCTTTATCAATACTACTACTGCTACTAATTTTGTCGTTTTTTTCTGTCTTTCTAATTAATGAAGCTGGAGGTCGAGAAACTACGGAACTTGGTGGACGAATTGCAGGCCTTATTGACGACGCAGAGAAATGAAAATAGGTTCGTAACAGAGGAGAATGAAAGGCTCAATGGTAAGATGTTATATCTCAAAGACACCATACGTCAGCTACATGAACATGAACGGGAACTAGAAGAACAGAATCGAGGACTACAAGAAACTATGAATATAGTATTGTCTTCTCTGCTTCTATATATAATCTATCTTTTGTTTTGATTACTATTACTAGTTTTATAATTTTTCTATAGATCTTCATCCATAATTCATATTGAATTGCAATACCAAGTAAAGAAAGTCCTCGAATTTCCTGTTTTTCATTGAGAAACCTTAGACAGGGGTTTCACCTCTATTATAGATAACAAGGATCTTAATTTGGAAAGTGGAAAATACCCTTCATAGTTATTCCATTGCCCTTTCTGTTCGCATTAAATTTATTCAGTTAAGATAAGTTTTTGATTGCCTATGATCATATATACTTATGCTTTGGCGATGATTAATGTCTTGTCTTAAGGATGTCAAGAGTTTTCGGATGTTTCTGTCTAAACTTATATGTAACGTGGGGGGCCATTTCTAAAACTTCCTTAACCTCGAAAAAGGATTTCATACGTTAGCATATCGAACTAAAACCCTTGTCCTTTTGTTTTGTTGATTTGTTAATTTCCTTTGAGTTGCAGGAGAGAATTTGATCTTCTTATTCTGGAATGTTGAAATTGCTGTTCTTCTTCTCGATTTGTTTGTTTTCAGGCTGACTCATATCTTGCACTTGATCTATTTCGGAGTCCAAATGAAGAAGTTGCAAATAATGAGACTATTATCACTCATGGCCCGGAGAGTACTCAAAGTACCATACGGTATGCTGATGAGCTTGTGGAGGATTTTACTAAGAAACTTGATGCGAAGGAAAAGAGCAACTTGGAATTTTCTGATTTTGATGATTGGAGGAGGAGCTGAGAACAAGTGGGATAAACAGTTTACCACCATCTCTGGCCCTAGTTGATTCAAGCATCAAGGAGACCTTTGGTGATATTTCTGATGGAAGCAAACAGAGCAACTGTATGGCTATGCCTATCCGTATTGTGTTCTGTGCTGCAATCAGAGAGATGTGTAACTTAAAACTTTGCCAAATTGATGAAAGAAAAATCTTATTATGGAGAGATGCAATTAACAGTGCTCTAACATCAATTTCAAAGTGGAGTTTGCCGTACACTTGAAGAAAATTGCTAGTGCATACTTTGGTTTAATTGCAAGGAGAGAGAAAACCAATGATTCAGAGCTCAAGAGCATAGAGCAGAGGATTTCTGAGCTATTGTTTGAACAGCGTGCCTTGGAGGCAAAGCGAGCTCAGAAAGTAGAAGAGTGGAATTCTGAGATGAGGAAGCAGTGTCTGCTTGATGCAGAGTATTTTGAGGGCAAGTATCTGAGCACTGGTCTATTGCATTAGCATCCTTCTTCCAGCTAGATGATTGGATACACTTCTTCCAGCACATTGTATACCTCCGTTATGAACTTTGATAGTATTACAATACTGATGAAGGGAATTTTATCCTCACCCAACATGTTAATGTATCTAGCATTTTGTTAAGAGTTGCATTACCTTTTCTAGAAATTCCAAGCTTTGTGTATCTAGCATGTGTTAAGAGTTTCATATCCTTTTGTAGAAAGACCAACCATTGCGTAGCATTTGTTAAAAGTTGCATTCCTTTTTAACAAAGGCCTCAGCCACAGGTCTTAGGGAGACTAAAGACACTAAAGCTTGTAAAAGTTTGTGCTGTTAGATAGTAGCATATTTTGACTTCACCTCGAAAAAATGCATATCTTATTTAGCTTCTTCAAGAGATGTTGATAGATGTAAAATCATTCAGAGAGGAAGCGAAAACAAAGGTATTAAAAGATGAGTAATACATCCTATATTTTGACAGAATAATTAGCTGGAATCTGGTAGTTTGAAATCACATGGAAACCAATACATGTTTCTTTGTTTTCCTTAATCAGCAGCAGCTGGAACCACTGAAGGATTCCTCTGATGATCCATAACATATACAGGATATATCCGGATAATAACAAATTATTTGTACTTGTAACGATTGCACCCCTTCCCACAACACTCATAAATAGACCTCCTAATGAATGTAGGTTGCCAATCTCTCAATAGCCCCTGCTCCAATCTCTTCCATCTTTTCCTATGCTCAAAAGAACCACATATTCAGAGCACAAGTGGTCTGCAGGATCACAAATAGACATGGATCACGAGACAAAGCAACAAATGGATATCGGACCGAGTCCTTAGACTGTTACCCTCTGTGGCAAGAGCAAGTCCTGCCGTGATGACACTGCCTGCAATTCGAATTCCATGTTTCACTTCTATCTTTGATTCTCTCAATTGGGGCAGATAAAGAATGTGGATTAAAGAGGAAAGCTTCCACAAAATTGCCTGCCTAGCCATAGTCCTTCCAGCCAGCACTGCCATTGCCGCCCCAAGAGAAATGGCCAGCTAACCAGACATTTGAATCACCCACAGATGCAACCATGTTTCGAACAGCTTGCATGGCAATCTCAAAGCGAGAAGTCTGGTGGAGTCCATTTCGTATTTTGTGGATATCCAACTCAAAGTCTCTAGAGAAGGAGTCTGGTTTAGATATGGTACCTCGAAAGGCAATCACATAGCGAGGACGTCGACCAATTGAGTCATTACAATGAGATGATGGAGGCTTATACTAATAAATGGCACCAAAGATGCAAAAATGAGCATCATCAACAAGCTTATGAATCAACTTAAAATAGAAGAACTCCCACCGAGGAGGAGCCAGAGCTTAAGAACCTTGACGTTTTTCCTGGCGGTCTCGGTCCAAAATATAGACACCCTCAACCAAACTGGCTGCCACAGACCTTCTATGATATGCATTTGTCTTGCATACAATAAATACAACAATATTTAGCACGTAAGACAGCATCCACCTGCTGAGATTAAAATAGATTCAAAGATCCTCAAGTTCTTAGACCTTAAACATCTTTGGAAGTCAACAATTGCTTTGGTTTTTTCATTTAATGGGAGGAAACTCTTAGCGGTCTATACTAGTTAGGTGTAAGGGCCCCCAGAAAGACCAAATTTTTTTCTCTCAGAGGCCATCACAGCATTCACTCTTGTTCTTTCTTGATATTTAGAAATCCTAAGCTGCATGTAGAAGTAAAACCAGTGAACGCAAAGCAGCTAGCGGTCGAATTATTTCAGATGTAATAAAAGATACAATCTAAAGACTTAATAAGTACATTTATCAAGGCAAAGCAAGCATCAACAAGACCATGCAATGTTCTTAAGCTTCAAAGAATTCTCCAACAAGCCATCAACTGGAATCATGGAAATGCATTTTAATATATTTTAAAAACCTATAATATAGTTTCCTAAGTTTATTTAGAATAAAACTAATTAATCATGTAAACTTTATCACCAGAACATTTAAACCACAGCAAACCAAGAAGCAGGTTGGTTACGAACCATTTTTTTAACACGTAATTGAGTTTCCTGGACAATTTAGCACACTCTGCTTTGGCAGAATCAAGTCACAGACCGTACTGAACCAAATTTTACTGAAACAATTCATGTAAAGCCAGCCAATTGCAACCACATAAATTTCTGAATCCGAATTCTTATCGGCACCATATAAATTAAACACTACAGACTCTTGTGCCATGCCTCTCAAGAGATGCTACAAGTTTGTACAATATTTAACTAGCGTTTAACTTGTTCTTTACAGTTTGTAGCCTGGTGAGATGGCTGTGGTTGCAGCCAAATCAATGATTATTAAAACAAGTCGGAAGAGAAAAAGTGATCCAAGATTCAAAACCATACAAAAGAAAAGAAAAAAAAACTATGAATCTGTTTCTATCTGAAATAAATTACCCCATAAAAAGTACCCCCACGTAATCTATATTGAAAGTTTTTATCTGATTTCTACTCATCGTACAAATCCAAAAGTGATTTGACCCAAATTTCCTCAAGTTTGTCATTAGCGAGGGATATCAATGAATCCGACACTTCAATTGCACCAATTGCTTCACTGAGATTAAAAAAAAAAAAAAGGAATATTCCAATCCACAAAATTAGACCATGTCGAAGAGTTACGTGGGATATGATAATTTTTTATTATGAAAATCAAATCTTAATTTTACATAATTTTAATATCTAAAGTTTTAGAATAAGATAATTTTTATAATTTTTTAATTAAAAAAAATCATACCTTAATCTATTAAAATTTTTTTAATTTAAATTTTATTAAGATTAGTTCTCTCTCTTGACCTTTTTTTTTCCTTTTCATCCATTCTTGATGGAAAGAATGCATGTATTTTATAAGCAGGGAGGAATGGTTTTGCTTTTTTATTTATTATTTATTCATACATTCTATCAATGTATGAAATAATTAACCTCCTTTATTTGATCAATAAGTTTTTTTTTTTTAAATCATATCATTCATTAAATCATTATTATCTTTTAAGTAAAATTAAAAAATATTTACTTAATGTTGAATAACTTGCATGTAGGTCACATAAATTCAATATTCTCTCACTTGGTCTATGTATTATTATTCAACTTTATGGTTTAATAATAAAATATAATGTGCAAAATATAAGTTAAGTCATTTCTTAAGTTGATCAAATTATAAATCATCATTAAGCAAAAATTAATAAGAATCATAACAGTTGTATGTGATTAGCTCGAAATAGTCCTTTCTATGTAACACATTATTAGTTCTACACTCAACATAACATTTAATGAGAGATACCATAACAATCTAACAATAATGTCTTCATTAGAGATAAATCTAACTCATATTCATATAATTTAATCATGTATATGTACTAAAGTAATGGAATATGATGCATTAATATGTTAGAAACAGCACTTAAAAGAGCTTAAAGTGTCAAATTCATAAAGAATATAAAACTTTACCATGATATCAATAACGGTTTTCAATAATGCCCATTCTTTTGACATATTCATTAAATGTCTTTGCTAGCAAACCTTTTGTTAATAGATCTGCAATCATAAAATTTGACACATCCCGAGATCGAGATATAACACGATTAATATTATCTTGAAGCAAAATTCAAAAGTAATATAGAGCCATCTTTCTTAACCATTCTAAAATTCTTCAATAAAATAATTGTCAAGTAAAATATATATTTTTAATCCAACTAATGATACATCTTTACATATCCAAATACAAACTATACCAAATACAAAACCATTAATAATATCTCATTGACCAATATTATCTCCTACGACTAAGTAGTTTTTTTTCATTTTGATCTTCTAACTTCTCACAAGACTAACCAAACTTATCATTTACTTATTTGAAAAGAGAAAAAAAAAAAAAGCAAATCATAACTCAACAAGTATAGGTTCACGTACCTTACTGGATCAAACATCGTTTTCATATATATCATATAATTTATTCAAAAACATTCATTAAATCATAATGTCATAATATTTCAAAAATCATCATTATGTAAAACATTTTGTAAATCATAAATAACATCAAAACATGTCAATTCTTAAATTATTGCAACATATGTTGTCATTTGAATACCATAATCAAACCAAATCATCAATCAATCTTTAGAAATCATCGTAAATCATTTTCATATACAAATCATGGATTAATCTTTAAAAGTCATCATCATCATCATCATCATAAATCATCATTATCATTAGTTTATCATTAACTACGGTTACTACTATAATCCGTAATATTAGCTGTATCGACAATTTCATCCTCATGATCATTGCTAACTATTATAACTCTTAGTCAGGGCCTTACATTAACTACTATAACCTGTTAATAGGTCGTATGATCATATATATGCTAACTACTATTACCCATTAGCCAGGACTGTAGAATTAGTTCTGGTGTCAATGATCTCACTTTTCAGGATGTAAAAACGTTGCTATCATAAAATCATTTCTTAAACATAAATCATTTTCTCATTTCATTCATAAGTATGATCCATCATTTACATAGCAAAAACATAAAATAATCATATGCTTGATCATATTTTCATATATCGAACATAAAGAAATAAAACATTTACTTATTCAAAAACATACATATATACATAGATTTAAAAATAAGTCTATGAGATTTTACTTACCTCTTTTCAATTTTACCACTTAGTTTTTTTCTCAAAATAATTAATGCCATATTCAAGATCATTTCAACATATTAGAAATTAATCAACTCTTTTTGATACCGTATATACTAAAACAATTAAGTTATACAAAAGTTAACTCAACTAATTAATATTGATAGCTTGACCTCTTTTCATTAAAATGATCATATCTCAATATATCCAAGTCAGAATTAAGATCTCTTTAATGCAATAGAAACTAGACTTGATAAGCTTTCTAACCATATATGGTCCACATCGTAATTTCTTGTAGATTAATTATAATAAATTTTGAAATCCACATTATATGTTGTTTCCAAATAGCACGTATAGCTTTTAATAAAAATTACATATTTATTCATAGGAGACTCCAAATTCAATTCCACTTATTTCGTTAGAAAGTAGACTCAATAACATTTTTAAACATGCATGGCTCAATTCTTAATTCCTTGTTTAAATTTAAGAAAATTTTGTAATTCATCCCTAATAATGTTGCCATACAGCCTGCATATCCTTAAGTAAAAATTAGACAACTCTTCATAAAAAAACTCATATTTGACTTCTGTTTTTTTCATTAGAAAGTAGATTCAACATGCTTTCCAATGATATATAAATAGTCAGAGCAATATCTAATCCCTTGACATAAAATATTATTTTAATCCACTATTGTAGATAATAGCATTTTATCCAAAAATATTATTTCTCCTTTAACTTTTAAAAATCCAAATCCCCACTTTCAGCCTTTAAAATCCACTTAATAATCACCATTAAATTTAATAATATTAAGTAAATAAAATCCAATAATTTACCCAAATCGATCATGAAGAGTAATGAAAGATTTTATAATTTTTTTTTATATTTTTCTTAGAACTTCAACTCCAAATAATAGCAACCGGCATTATATATTTCTTAAATAAAAA